CTTGGTTGAGATAAGGATGTAAGAGGAGGCTGAAGTTAGGTAATTTCCTCCCCCCCCCCCCATGGGGTGAGATAAGTCTCTGATAAGATCCTGTCCCCTGGAAAGCAGCCCTTTTTCATGGAAAGCCCTCTAGATGTATTTCAAAATGGTTACTTTTACTTCTCCCCCTGCCAGAGACACAGAGAATTTTTCTTGGCTCTTCACCATGAGAACCAGGTGGGATTCCTAGAGGTACAACCCGCGAAGTGTGGAAGCCCTCCCTAAGACGGCAGGTCCCCAGGAATTTCTCACTCATATGTTAGTCCACACTCAGCCTCCACCAGTTCATCAAAATTGCCATTTAAGTGTTCCTACCAGCTTATGGGTGGTAGGTAAATTGATTTCAGTTGTGATTCTTTCTTTCTTTCTTAGATTATTTATTTATTTATTTATTTGACACACAGAGAGAGAGAGTGCACAAGCAGGGGGAGATGCAGAGGGAGAAGGAGAAGCAGGTTCCCTCCTGAGCAAACAGCCTGATGTGGGGCTCGATCCCAGGACGCTGAGATCATGATCTGAGCCGAAGGCAGAGGCTTAACGGACTGAGCCACCCAGGTGCCCCTCAGCTGTGATTTTCTGTATTTATTGTCTCTTCAAATTTCAGTGTGGCAGTTTGCCCTATGACCTCAATTCTCTGATAGGTCCAAGAAAAGTCATTGGTTTTCAGTTTGTTTAGTTTTTTCTTTCCTTTTTTTTTTTAAGATTTTATTCATGTATTTGTTAGAGAGAGAGAGAGAGAGAGAGAGCATGAGCGGGGGGGAGCAGCAGAGGCAGAGGGAGAAAGCTGAGCAGGGAGCCCGACTTGGGGCTCGATCCCAGGACTCTGGGATCACAACCCGAGCCAAAGGCAGATGGGTAACTGACTGAGCCACCCAGGCGCCCCAGCTTTTTTCTTATAAGGATGGCAGTGATGAATTGCAAGCTCTTTACATGTTAGAGCTGAAACCAGAGGTTGAAAAGTTTCTAAAAGCTTCCAGAAAAGAGGGGTAAAATAGTCACAGCAGCACTGGAAGCTTGGCAATAATAGGGCTATGCCTTCGGAATTCTGAACAAAAATATCTAACCTAAAATTCTGTACTCTGCCAAACTATCAATTGGGTATGAGCATAGAATAAAAATATTCTTAGTGAGGCACCTGGGTGGCTCAGTCGTTAAGCGTCTGCCTTTGGCTCGGGTCATGGTCCCAGGGTCCTGGGATCAAGCCCCGCATCGGGCTCCCTGCTACACGGGAAGCCTGCTTCTCCCTCTCCCACTCCCCCTGCTTGTGTTCCCTCTCTCGCTGTGTCTCTCTCTGTCAAATAAATAAATAAAATCTAAAAATATGTATATTTTTAGAAATTTTTAGACATACAGCTACTCAAACCTTTCCCCTCATCACCCTACCCTTTACTCTGGGAAGCTGCTTTGCTCAGAATAGTGAAATAAAACAAGAAAGACCAGCAGCCAATGTTGAAAATGAGTTCCTGATAAAAATACATCCAGGCATCATTGGTTGGAATGCTGAGCATACCCCTCTCCAAAATCCTCCAACCAGGACAGTCCCTGTGGCTACGAGTCTTAGCTACAACCTTGGTGGTCTGATATGTCCAAGTACCCTTTTCCTGCCTTGGCTTTGTCTTTACACCTGAGAAAGTACCATGTGTCATGAATAACGTGTAAAGAGAAAGAAGGGAAAAAAACAAAAAAGAAAACATGGGTACTGCTATTTTTTTTCATAGTCTTCTGGAACTATTTAACTTTTTAGATTATATACATATAAAACTTAGTGAAATTAAAAAAAAATACTTAAATGTAAGAAGATGAATTCTAACTGCAGACTGGTTGAGAATTCTTTGGTGACAACATTAACTGAAATCACCTCAATTAATTCTAGTTTGGAATGTTTGGTGTTTACCTGATAGAGTGAGCATAAAAAGAGGCAAAGACTTTTAATACAAATTTTCTTTTATTTTTGTATCACAAGTGATGAATACTTATAAACTAACCTTTTAAAGTTGACCATAAAAGGCACTACATAAATGGTTAACACTGTGGCATCACCAATATAACACCTTTTGGAAAATGAAACAAATAATTGAGGTCATTGAAGGAATAGGTGCTCCTGGCTTGGTTAAAAAAAAAAAATCCAGTGTCAATATCACAAGTAGATTTAAAAAGTGCTGTGTGTCAGACTCAGTGTGCTCTGGAAACCACGAAATGACTCTGGCCATGACAAAAGCATTGACAATAAAGATTCGAGTGAACAGCTTAAATAATATTGTTTTGTGAAATAAGTGAGTAGTAAAAAGGGGGCATTATTAAATTAATCTATTGTTTCACATAACATATGATTTTAAATTCATACAGGAACTAAATTAAATATTCTAAGTAAAATAAAAAGAAAATGAATTAGTTCTCAGACTGTTTCCCAAAAACATCCTTCATTTTCATTGAGGAGGTAGTAATGAATGAAAGCAAGAAACACCTGAGGGTCATTTCTCAAGTGCTGAGGCCATGATTTCATATTTTTATCTCTGCCCAGCTTACTAAGGAAGTCCCTTACTTTCCTCTCTGCCATATCACCCTGTTTCTTCCCTTCACAGCATTGATCACTAACTGCTATTTTCCTGTTTATTTGTTGGCTCATGTCCTCATGAGGATGGAAGCCCGATGGAAGGAGGGACTTTGCTGTCCTACGACTGAATGTCTCCCGAAAATTACCCAATCAACGCCTCCCAGATCATAAGCATTCAGTCAAAATTAAATCGGTGAAGAGTGAATCACGAGCACCTGGTAGACCCAGTAGAAAATGTGCGTTAATTCAATTTTCCTCACAAATTTGGGGTCAGCGGATCACTGGGAGGAAAAGAGCCTTCTCTCCAAACAATTCTGGCAAGGAATAGAGTTAATGGTATCACTGATGTTGAAATCTTCCTAGTCACTAAATAGAATCATAGCAGGGTTTTAGCTATTAGCAGCCTTGGTCCTGTGGGAAAATTCTCAAGACCTTATATAACCCTCTTAGTTACAGAGAAATGTGGTCCACTAAGCAGCTACTGTATGAGATTGGACACAGAGGAACTAAAATAAACATGATAATAAAAATGGTGTTATGTATTCAAAAGCACAATAACTAGTTTGCTCATTAACCTCAGTAGGACATTTTGCTCTGTTATCACTTTGAAGCCAGATTAATTCTAGCTTCACTTTACTTAAAACCCTTTGATGGCTCTGCACTGACTACAGAAAACACCAGAATCTTTAGCATGGAATATGAGTCCTTCCATAATCTGGCTGGTTTCCTCTCTCCCAGTATCTGGTTTCTCTCTCACTAACCAAGGCTCCAGCAGATGCAAACAGCTTCTAATTCCCTGAATAACGTGACTACTGTTTCTTCTCTCAATGCCTCTCTCACCCTGCTCTCTCTGCTTGGGAAGCCCCCCTCTCCAGGCCCACTTGGTGGTCTCCACTCATTGGTTAAGACTCTATGGAAACTTCTCGAGCCCTCTCCTCCAGGAGAAGTGACCAATTCCTCCTTCATGTGCAGCCTTTACCCTCACGTACAGACCTCATATTGGGCCTGGCCCACGGCTACTCCCCAAACTGCATTTCCCGTCACTCTTCCCATTGTTTACTCCACACACACTGGAATTCTTGCAGTTCCTCAAAACCTTCATTCTCATTTGCCAGGAGTAAAAAATGTTCTCCCAGGTGTGTTCCCAACTTCATCTGACTACTCAAACGTCTCCTCTTGTAGGAGTTGTCTTTGACCACTCTACCAAAGAAGTTTCTTCCCTTCCACTTTCTAAATACAACTACCTCCTCTCTAGCCCTTTACCTTACCTCATTTTCTCCTTGTAGTACTGATCTAGCATGATCTACTTTGTGATTATCTGTCTTCCTTCTAGAATATAAGCTCTGTGAGGATGGGTCTTTGTTTTATTCACTGCTGTACATATTGGTGAATGAATGAATGACACCCGTGACACTTTACAACCTGACCTGGTTTGAGACCTGTCTCCCTTGCTGAACAGCAGGGGTTATAGCCAATTCCTCTTGGTTTCCTCAGCTCCTTCCTGGCACAAAGTAACTTCTTATTCCTTGTATGACCGGATGATGTCAAGCACAAATTACCTGTAACAACAGTTCCCAACAAAGGGACTCTGAACCCATATATACTACCTAACCTGAAGAATACAACCATAACCTCCACAATCCCTTTATCTAAAATTCTTGGGACCAGATTTCTTTCAAAATTCAGAATTGTTCACTCCTTAACACCCCTAGTAGGGTCTGGGGCAGTACCCCGGAATCAAACACATTAGTAGCTTTGCAACAAAACATGCGAAGAATCCTACAGAGTATGATAAATAATGCTCAAGTCAGCTTTTTCTGTCAAGTGACTGTAAGGATACATTTTAAGAGTCTGGAATTTTGGAATTGTGGACACAGGGCTGTGGACATGTACTAGCATAGGGAGATCTGTATCCCTGTGCTAAAAGAGGTTCCCCACATTCTAGAAGGTTAGTTATCACTGATTTCACACGTTAGTTTAAGACATCTATTTTTCTTTTCCCGGTAGCTACCATTTACTATTTGCCAGCCTTTGTGCTAAGCTCTTTAAACATGGAGGTGAAACAGTTTGCTCTATTTTATGAATGAGGAAGCTAGGGTTTAGAGAGAGGGTTAATGCCTTGCCCACACAGGTAGGCAATGGCTGAGCGAGATCCACACTGAAGCTGTCTCACAATCAAAAGCCATGCTCGGGGCACCTGGGTGGCTCAGTCGTTAAGCATCTGCCTTCAGCTCAGGTCATGATCCCAGCGTCCTGGGATCGAGCCCCGCATCAGGCTCTCTGCTCGGCGGGAAGCCTGCTTCTCCCTCTCCCACTCCCTCTGCTTGTGTTCCCTCTTTCGCTGTGTTTCTCTCTGTCAAATAAATAAAATCTTTGAAAAAAAAAAAAAAAAGCCATGCTCTAGACTACCTGACCATCTTGAATTCACAAGTTCAAGATAAAAATTCTTTAGTCTTGTCAAGTTTCTTCTTAATGTTGAGCCAAAGGAAAGTCCCTATGATTCAAGTGAATGTAAAAATCCTCAGGCTACAAGTTACTCATTATAAAAAAAGGCTGGCTATAGGTAGCCAACATTTACTGATATTTGTATAGTGGAAGAATTGATTTCCTCAGCTAAACCAACATCTTACGCATTTGCAATGAAAGATCAAGTGATTCCAGATAATTAAAAAATTATATAATTACATTAACTTGCCCTGATTTCTTTTGCAGAACCGTAATCCAAGGTCTACTATTACCTGACAGAGGAGAGTAGGACTGATAGAAGGGAATAGTCAAAAAAGGCACTAATGTAGATCACATGTACATTTTTATACTTATCTTTTTCAAGAACATCTTAGTTGCTTGAATTTTTTTAAGCCAGGTGGAAGTTAATAAAATGTATTTGTGATGACCAAATTTTGAAAAATTTTTTGAATTACCAAATTTAGTAATAGTATTTTGGCAATGAGTCAGTTGTATAAGAACAATAAAGCTATTTAAAAAAAATCTCTGCATAGAGTTACAGCTTCAGTTGAAGACACCCTTATAGGAAAGCCTCAAATTGTGAAATGTAGGGTAGCAAAAATACAACACATTCATTTTATGGTACAAAAGCAGATAATATGGACATGAAGATTAAGAAATGAAAATAACATATACACTAAAAACATCACAACAGAAACAGGCTTTATTTCAACCAGACAAGTGAACACTTCAATTAACATCACGTTCTTCAAGACTTGAAGATATGGCAATTAAAGATGGTGCTCAGGAGGCAGAAAAGGAAAGATTCATCATGGAGGAGTTGCACTGCCTTGAAAAATCCCTTTCAACAATGTGCTCAATTCAAAAGATTAATCAGTTCTAAATCATTAGACCTCATGCGTTTCAATATTTGTACAAGACTCTCATTTGAAAGTTACCCATCAGTTCCAATGACATCTTTCAAAAAAGACAAAAAATATGTATAGAGATCAGTATCATGATTTTTTTTTTAATATTAGAAACTGGGATTGAAATACAGTTTTCAGTTTGAAATATTTCAAATGAAAAAATGTTAATATTTAAGATGCCTTGTTACAAAGCTCCTATGTACATACGTGTACAAAACAAATAGGTATTATTACCTGACACCTCAACCCATGACTTCTCCCTCCTCTCCCAATGTGAATAGTTAATCTACTGGGAGACTTTACCTGGGAAGTTCCAAAGTCCTGCATAAGGATTTGCTGCCACTCATAGGCTGGGCCTGAGTGAGGACATTTCATCAGAGAAACATTTCAATTTAATATAACCTAACAGAAAATAAATCCAACAAAACATTGCATATTCGTAACGGTTAAGACAAAATTGCATATCATTTTCAACTTTTGCCTGACTCATAAAATTCATGAACACTTTCAGAGTTTTCTCATCAAGGGCACTTTCGAGAGCTTTCAATCTCGTGCTTAACTTCGTATCGAGTTGGTCAGCACCTTGATTGATACGAACAATTAGGTTAAAGAAAGGTATTGGGGAGGAGAGGGAGTCATTTGAGGACAGAAACAGGGGGAAGGACTCTCTTTCTCCATAAGACATTCCAACAGAAAAAAAAAAAAAACCAAGACGAAAAAAGGCATATAAACAAACAAACCAAATTGTGTTCACAGTAAAACATGCCAGATTTGTAGTTTCATTTGAAACCAACAGCAAATCATGAAACGTCATGAAGAATATAAGTAAAGGTAGAATCTCCTAGAGTCATTACTAAATGAAGTTAAAATTACCACACGGATCAGTAAACCCCAGAAGAAAAATAAACAGCACTTACATTTCAGGTCCTTCCTACACATCATACAACTTTTCAAGGTTAATGCATAAAATTCGTAGGTTTGGCCTCGCTGCACAAACTTTTTTTTTAAAAAATACAGTATACAGAAAAAACTCTTGTATTCCCCATTTTGAATCATCAGCTCAAAACCCAAGAGTAAAAGATCAGTTAGAAGGATTTTAAATTATTTACAAATCCAGCAGGTTCATCTGCCATAATGGCTTGGCTTCCGTCCCACAGCGGCATCTACCTCCTCCGGCGGCAACTCTCAGTTCTCTGTTCTCACAAAAGGTTCTTCCGTCCACTGGTCATCACTACTGGTCATCAGTCATCTTGAACAGTTCCAGCAGCGCCCCAACAGCCCCGAAATAACCCTACAAAAGCAATAGGAAAACTTGCACACGATGATCTCTAAACAGCCAAATGCTTACTGTGTTTAATAATTCTAGGAATGCTGCTCCCTACTGTTGTAGGTAAAAAAACCTTAAAAGCTGAACTCTGCCATGCTCTGTAGAGTAATAGTCATAATATTTATTAGATATACCTGTTTTTCTATCTTAAATAAGCTAACGGCTGTAAATAAAGCGCTTAGGGAGATGCCATGACTGCTGGGATTGGTAGAATTACAATGATTGCATTTTAATCTGTGCCATGGCAAAATTCATACTATGAACCCCATTTCACTGATGAGAAATGACAGGTACTAAAGTAAATTTCCCCTTCAGGGTCACACACTTGTGCCAGGGCTCAACCCCAAATCTGTCTGACTTCCAAGTTGAATCTCACAGATGAGAACTCAAAGCTTCCCTCAGCAGATCTTGGAAAGGCATCTAAATCAGCAGGAGCTGCACTTTGCTCATCTGTAAAATAAAAGCCCATGTTTTTGTGAAAGTGCAAGGAACTGAAAAATAAAAATGTTTAGAGAACTTGGTTTCCAAAAGGTCTGAGACTCCATGCCTGTTCCCTGACTCAAGAGTCACCAACCCGAATGGGAGGCCGCTTGCCAGGACTGGCAGTTACACGACGGGATCTCTGCCTCGGTGGCTGCCAGCTAACATTTCTTGAGGCCTCATTATATGCTAAAAATAGTTCTAAGCACTTCACATGAATTTATTTAATCTCCACAATAACCTTATGAGACAAATATTATTATCACCCCATGTTACAAAGGCTAAAACGAAGATGGAGAGGTAGGGTCATTGTCTAAAGACTCCTAGTCAGTCAAGAGGCTGTGTCTTCACTGCTTGGCTGATGACTTCTCAATCCTGTTAGTTGAATGAATGAGACTCCGTTGAGTGAGGACTCCTGAGGCAGGACAGGAAAACCATCCCACCAGCGCCTCCCCAAAGTTCTCTCTCCACAGTATCCTCCAGGAAGGCCTGCCTAAGCCAGACTGAATCTAAGAACGCAGAGCCCTTTCTGAGAGATCTTTACAAGGGGCTGTAAAAATGCTCCACTTCCATTGGCTACAGAGACCGAGTTATGACACGCGCATAACAAAGCCAAGCCACAGTCCATAGAGGCCTAGGATTGTACAAGTTAACGTAGGTGACTGTGTTTTTACCTACAGAAGTGAGTTTCCCCAAAATGCTGGATCTCACTCCCTATTTTACACCAACTAACTCCCCATGTGACCTCGTGGATGGCTTTTAATCCCTGATGGCTCCCAGAGTTTGTTTTCTGCCTTAGTTGAAGAGAATCTGGATTTAGGCTTGCCAGATAAAATATAGATAAATGCCAGATAAAATAACTGTGTCCTGTATTTTTAATCACTAAATATGGCAACTCTAGCTGAACTGGAACAGTGGTTTTTCTTTTTTCGTTTTAATTGCTTTTTAAAAGCTGAGGTACTTTTTCCTTTTTCAAACAAAATCTTACATGGAAATGATAAATAAGTAGGTAAAAAGGGAGGTACTCTGGTTGGGGGGAGGGGAGGTGAAAATTCTGGGACTCCATTACCCTTACCCCCCAAAAGTTCTATGGCTCCATGCTTTAAGCCTGCTTAAAAAAACAGGCTTTCTTTAGTATTAAGTTCTATCACTGGGCCTTAACTATTTAGTATTTAAATTCCTATTGTTTTATCTGCATCAAGAAAACAAAACACGGGCCTAGGAAACTCTAAATAACTTGTAAATACATGGGCAGCTTTTCAGATAAATAATTTGGTTTGAAGATGAGAAAAATGCCAGAGTAGTTATTCATTACAAGTTTGTGATACTAGTTCTCTCAAAGTTTTTTCTACTACAATACACACCAGGGATTAGGGACCTGCCCTGATAAACAGTTGCTCTCTACAGTACTGATTTTAAAGAAGGTGGCAGAGGAGGTAGGGAAGAGAAAGGTCCCTCACTTACTCTTAGACATTTGATTTATGGGATTGTAGAAACTTGATAGAAGGGACTCTCTCAACTAACTGATGTTCATATCCTCTGCAGACAGATTGCTAAAGCCTAAGGACACCAGCCTCTCTGGGCCAACAGGCTCCTCTGAGCAACCCCCGCACTTCTGTTCTCACCAATGCAGTTGTCTGCTTGCCAAGAGTCAGCTGTGTTTATCCTCAGATTTGTTTATGACAGTTTTATGTTAATGTCATAATCTAAGTTAATACCTAAACCAATAAAAAGAGTACAAAATAAATTGGTCACTTCTATGAAAATCCAGTTAAATTCTCAAAAAAGATTGAAAAAGGCAGTCACAAACCATTACTCTCTACTTGGGTGGATCCCAATACACATGAAAGGTTGAGGGAAAAATCTAGAAGGATTGTGCAACCAGAGTGCTTCATAGGTGTCTTTAATCTCTTGATCCATTTTAAAGAAATAAATCAGAAATCAAAGAAGGCATATAATATTTGTGGATTATGAAAAAAAGGATAACAGCAGAACCCATGGTCAAAAATAGGCCTTGGTCCTACATCAAAGAAATTGATGAGTGAATGAACATTTATGTTTTATGTTAAAATAAAATGGTTAAAGTAGAGAGGTATTTTTTAATGATTACTCATTTTAGCTGATTTTTTTCTTAAATTTAAATTTAAAATTTTTTTAAGATTTTATTTATTTATCTGACAGAGAGATAGGCAGCAAGAGCAGGAACACAAGCAGGGGGAGTGAGAGAGGGAGAATCAGGCTTCCTGCTGAGCAGGGAGCCCCATGCAGGGCCTGAACCCAGGACCCTGGGATCATGACCTGAGCCGAAGGCAGACGCTTCACAACTGAGCCACCCAGGTGCCTCTGATTTTTTTTTTTTTTTAATTAACCAGCTACCAGTCCTTATTGCTGGAGAAAAAAAGCTTCCATTTTATATATAGTTCTTCTTTATCCTTTGTATAAATGCAAAGTTTAAATGGCAACTCTTTCTACTTGACCAATTTTAAACTTTTTTTTTTTTTTTTTTTTGACAGAGAGAGAGAGAGACAGCAAGAGAGGGAACACAAGCAGGGGGAATGGGAGAGGGAGAAGCAGGCTTCCCGAGGAGCAGGGAGCCCGATGCGGGGCTCGATCCCAGGACCCTAGGATCATAACCTGAGCCAAAGGCAGACGCTTAACGACTGAGCCACCCAGGCGCCCCTCTACTTGACCAATTTTAAAACTGAGGGACTCACTCAACAGTTAGACAAAGCCAAATACACTCCATGTAGGACAGCTAAGTCCATGCAGACTTGACCTACCTCATGTTCCAAAAACAGAGCTTTTAGCTGTCCTTTGGACCAAAAATCCATTGCATATGCTAGCAGCTTCATGGAGACCATATTGATTCTGAGAAAGTTCCCAACAAACACAACTCTGTCAATATTCTGGAAAAAAAAATTAAAGAACAATTAAATAATGGTATAAAAATAGCATTTAGTAAAGACCCAATGTTCCATACTTCACTGTACTCCCAGGACTTTGCAGAATCAATTTGTTTCTTAAGTGAAATTATTTCAGCATTTCCACGATGAAGTAGAACAAACTTCACACTGCATTCCAAAGAACAAAAGGGTGAGATTCTGGCTCGGTGAGGCAGTGACTTATATTGGGCTTATTTGCAAGTGTTATGTCAGATTGACTTAGGCCTGATATGAAATTCAGCTACCAATACACATATAAAATTTTAACTGGAGTTCAAGTTCAGCTAAATTTGCCTTTGCATTCCTTTCAATTCCCCCAACTTCCAACTATAAAATATTATAACCAACTCATAAATAAAATGGCCCTGGCATGGGTTATTCATCTAACAAGTTTGCTCAGTTTGCTCTATGCCAAACACCAGAATACAAAAAGAAACAATTCCCAGTCTCTATCCTTGGGCTATATGGTGGACAATCCTGTTTGGTCAACATGTGGGTTGAAATATGGTAACGAAAAATACATCTAACTTTTGTTGACATGGATATGGATTTGCATTCTGCACACACACTTAACACTGAGCTCAGCCTGTCTGCCACCCACTCACTCACAGAGCCAGTTGCTATGGTCACTTATGTCAACGGAAGGGAGTCCCAGAAGCTGGCATTCTTTTCTGTTCAGTCTATCAAGAGTCATCAGGATCTAGGGATATGGCCTCTTAACTGTCTCAAGTTTTGACAATGTAAATTGATAAGCCCATTAACTACTGTGAATATTTTCTATGGGTGGAGGTGTGGGAGGTGGTTTTAATAAGTTTCCACAAATAAGAATGGTAGCTACAAACTGCCCAGACTGAGATGTGACAAGAAACACTCAGAGTAAGTAACTCAGATTAAAGAAGAATTTAATTAAATTTAGGAGTTTTGTTTTTTCCCCTAAAACAAGGGAGTCCAACGTAGGACTTCCTCAAAGCCCCAGGCCTGCATTAGTCTGGTAATGAGCCAGAAGGAATAGAATGGCAATAAAAGCTGATGGACATCCTTTATTTCAAATAAATTCCAGGTGGGTCAAAGATATGACTGTGGGAGAAGAAAGAAAGAAAGAAAGAAAGAAAGAAAGAAAGAAAGAAAGAAAGAAAGAAAGGGAAGGAAGGAAGGAAGGAAGGAAGGAAGGAAGGAAGGAAGGAAGGAAGGAAGGAAGAAAGGAAGAAAGAAAGAAAGAAAGAAAGAAAGAAAGAAAGAAAGAAGGAAAAGAGAAGAGAAGAGAAGAAAAAAAGAAAGAATAAAGGAAAAAAAGACTAGAAGAAACAACAGGAGAATTCTTTTTTAAAAATAACATTGAGGGAGGGAAAATATAACACTCTCATGTATTATCATGTAAAAAAGCATGAGGCAATGTTTCCAGAAGTACATATTGAAGTATGTAAGGCAGACTGATATAACCTCTGGGATTTGCTTTCAAATATGTTAGCAAAAGAGAGAAGAGAAGGAGGAGGAGACAGGAACAGAGGGAGGAGGAAGAAGAAAACAGATAAAGCATGTGTGGCACAGTTTTGTTAACTGTTGATTAGGGTTAACGGCTATAAGGAGGTTCTTCATACTATTGTGCTCCTTTACGTATATTTACCAATTTTCATAATAAAAGGTTGACACACAACCAAAGCAAGACATAAAATAATATGTAGAGGGTAAATTGTATGAGATGTGACTATATCTCATAAAATTGTTTAAAAAGCAAGAATGTGATATAGAGTTTGCTGCCTTTGGAAGGATATGTTTCTGCTATATTGCAGACAATATAGAATAAGACACCAAAATTGAAAATCATCGGCTACCTCGAGCAAGGCTAACATTGCAGGACAGGTGCAAACAGTTACCCACTTCCCTCTACATCCTTCTGGTGTCTTTAGAACTCTGTATTATGTGTTTGTATTTTCTACTCAAAACTGTGAATAAAAAATTCAATGTTGGGCGCCTCGGTGGCTCAGTTGGTTAAGCGACTGCCTTCAGCTCAGGTCATGATCCCAGGGTCCTGGGATCGAGTCCCGCATCGGGCCCCTGCTCTGCAGGGAGCCTGCTTCTCCCTCTCCCACTCCCCCTGCTTGTGTTCCCTCTCTCGCTGTGTCTCTCTCTGTCGATAAATAAATAAAATCTTAAAAAAAAAAAATTCAATGTTGATGGCGAAGCATTTTACAGGATTCCAATAATCGCAGTAAAAAAAAAACCACCTTAGAGTCAGTAAATGTGGTGTCCCTCTGTGCAACAGCTGAGCTCAAGGACTCTCCACTCAGCGAGTCCAGCCCCTCTGCAATGACTCAAGCTTGCGTTTTGACTCTCACAGGAAAACGGCCGCCACTTCGGGCTGCGCCCACAGGGAGCCTGCGCTGGCAGGACGCCAGCCAGTGAAGCCCTTGCGGGAGGTGATCGGTGATTCCTCTCACTGGCCATATTTTCAAACTGCCATTTTTGCAATACTCCAACGATAAATGGTATTGAAATTGAAATCTAAAGTGAAAAATAAAATCCGTTACCCTCCCCCTAAAGTGAATATGATCGTTGTAAAAAGGCCCCCTGCTGGCTCACTCAAGGTCTGTGGAAAGCAGGGGAAAGGGTATCTACCGCTCTGTGGGGCCGGGGACCTTGGGGCTCATTGACCTTTGAGAGTGCACGAGGACAGCCCACAACACACACATTAGTCAGGCGTTGTTTGCCTACTTGGAAGAACTCCCTTTAAAGGTTAATGTCAAAAAATAAATCCCCTGTTAAAATGAGTCCTGTGACCGAAGTGGACTTTGAAAGGCACGTGTCTGGGATACATTCTTTCTTTGCATTTCAGCCTTGCATTTGAACCCCATCTCACACGGGGACATAAAAAGTGGTGACCCTGAGCCACAGACCAGAGACATATTCTACTCAACGTTGTAAAGGAGCGTGTTTCTCCCATAATCCCAGAGCTCCAAGGCAGGACTGGCACTGCCCACCATCAAGATCGCCTCTTGCCCTGTTTAAACCCCCACTGCTCGACCAGGATGGGACAGGAGGCGGTTTCTGCAGAACCTGTAATGTTCTATTTCTTGAGCCGAGTGATGGCTACACAGGTGTGTGTGTGAAAATCCAAGCTGGCTACACACTTCGGGTTTGACTGTCTTCTGTGCTTCTATTAAAATTATCTTTTTAAAAACTCTATTACTGAGGCGACTATGCTTCTTTAACCCTTCTATTACCCGTTGCCTGTCCCAAGCCCTTTCTTGTCTTCCTAACACAACTCAGTGAGAGCTGTTGTACTTTACATGTCTTCTGTTACAGAAAAGGGTTCTAGTTTCCCCGAGGAATTTTGCAGTGTTTCAAAACGCGTTCCCAAAGCTTTGTCACCAGCTCCACCCCTTCTTGTGCCTGGGGCTCTGGCTGGCCTCAGCTGTAGCAAGCTCTCTATGCTTTGATAGCCCTGTACAATGCTGCTTGAACTCCATGCCACAAGGCAACACTGTAAAGAAGCTGAAAGCAGAGAGAATATCGAATATTGTAAGTGGAGCGTTTTACCTGCAATTATTTGCAAGGATGAGCCAGGCTTTCCCTCACACTCCGGTAGGTGGGTGGTAATAATGACGGTCAGAGAGGCTATGGCACGAGTTGTGATTTTACCCGGACTCTGTGGTTGGATGGCTTATCATTTATTATCCAGTGCCTACTTAAAATAAGATGCATATTCTTCTCCATTCCCCAAAACACACCCCTCATGTTCTACAAGATGTGACTAGGACAAAGGGCAGGTTTCCCAAGGATCTATCATTTTGTAAGGGTCAACAGTTTTGCATCACTAAAGATGATGTGTATGAATGACACAAGGCTTCCTCTGGATTAAGGCCTTACCTCATTCAACGCACACATCCGAGCAATGGAGCCAATGTTGTTGGTGATGGTGACCAGTGTGGCTCGGGCGAGGTCTTCCTTGCTGATGGAATCTCGCTTTTCCTTACTCATCATGTTGCCAAAGCTATGTTGGAAATATTAGCGAGAGTATTCAAAATCATCCTCAGGCAGGCCCCATGCTTCCACCAAAGTACTGTGGAAAGCTTTATGAATAACTCTGTTAAAATTTAAACGACCTGATTTGGCTACCATGTTTTACAAGCAGACAGGATTACAATGTGAACGGTTGGTTGCCCTTTTTTTTAATAGGGGCAAAGTGGCATGGCTATTAATGGGAAAAAAATTTTTTTAAATGTTCTCTAGATATATTGACAAGAATGGAACAGGGGAAACTGTTGCAGTATTCCAGAACCTTCTTTCAAAGCTGCCCTATTTTAAGCACAAGCATCAGGGGCTAAACATTCCAATGCTTCGTAAAGGGCAGGAGATCAAGTGTGAGCTCCAATAACCATAGATACTTGCACCAGGCTGGTGGGTCGACACTTTAAAAATAATTAAGTGAATGGCCAGGGTGGAGAGTTTGCCTTGTTCACACGCTACTGCTCCTATAGCTACTTCGTCTCTACCTTGATGCTACAGCAGATCCTTGAAGGCCAAATCGTTCATAGTCTCCTCCGTAAATGTCCTTCACCAGCTTATCAACATTGGTGCTGTCGCCTTTAGCTGCCATTTCCAGAGCTTCTTCAAAGGTCTCACAACCAGTCAGCAAGCAACATAGGCCTAGGAATGTTCCACCTCCAAGACTGAAGGAACAATAAGGTTTATTTTTAAATTTTACTTTATGATATGCCCATCCAAGTCCCCAGCTACATCAAGATCACGAATATGGGTTAATAAAAACAGGAGAAGAAAAACAAAGGGGCACTTGAATTAAAGCGTAGGGTGCAACACAGGTTTAGGGTAGATTGGATTCTTTTTAAAAAAGGGCAGAGGCTAAAAGGGAACATCAAGGAAAACTTGCCCTTGAATTTAAGAACAAAATCAGAGAAAGACTCTCACTGATTTCCGTTGTGAGACCTTCAGCTAGCCGCTAAACTAAGTACCTCGTTCACTCTTCACAGCTATAAAATGGGGCCAAATTCAGGATCTCTCTTATTTGGTTGGTCTGAAAGCAGCAAATAACCAGAGAAATGACTGCTATGAAAAAAAAAATGTAGCCGAATACAAATACTCGGAAAAAGAAACCATATGTACACGAAGTTCACAATGCAGAGCCAGACTGACCCAGGGCTGCTAGGAACAGCCAGTCCAGAGGCCGTATCTTTTACCTTGACCTCGATCCTCTAGCAGACATAATCTCATTGAAACTTCTCAGAAATTTCTAAAAGGAAACCACTGATTGCTCACACACTGGTTTTTTTTTCTGTAGACTATGGAAAAGGTTATTAATATTTTACTTACTACCCAATACTCAAATATAGTAACAAAGGTCATAAAACGGTTTCAATGCTCAACTATGTTTTAAAAAGCTTTCAGTCGCTTTGGGGAAAATTCCCCTAAAACAGTCTTTTTAGACAGAAGTTAATTATGGTAGGTGAGAATGAATTTAGTTGCGTATGAATATCACAGTTACGTGACAGAAAGGAGACTGAGAGTAAAGCTACCACCAGTGACCTCCTGGCAGTATGGACGCGGGCATGGGCTTTACTCTATTTACCACGAGCAGATGCAGATGAGCATATGCAGAAGAGTCAATTGCTCACATCAGTTTGTTCTCAAGCTCCAAGAGCTGTGAGCCCCTGGACTTCCATTCTGAGAGAAAATCCAAGTCAAAATTGAGGTTATTTTGAATTTAAATTTGAAGAAAGAAACTTCAGGGGAAATTATATTTCATGTCAGTAACTGTTAACAAGAAGGTGCCAGATTGTAGACGGGCACAGTTCTTTATACCTAAAGTGAAACTGTATGTAAGAGTTCTTAAGTAGCGATTGTCACAAAAATACATACTTGATGGAAAGGATAGCTCCTGGTGGAAAATTCGGTAGCTAGGCGCCACCGGTGGCAGCTACCCAAAGCCAAGGTGCGGCACCAGGAGGAGCTCAAGAGCTCCATGGACATGACCGCCTTGACAGCTCAGTCACGGGAGAGATGTTGAAATTCCTCTAGGAAAGCTTATCTTTATTTACATTTAACAGGGCGTGTCGTGCACGTTGTCAGGTTCAGTCTGCCCTACAAAGCTCGTGTATTTTAACGGGAACAATTTTGGTTTGCGTGCCCTCGGGATTTGTCTCTGTATATTTTTAAGTCTTTTCTCACCCGTCTAGCTGCTTTCATCCACATTAATAAGGTCTCTTTGAACATCAGGAATTCATATTCATCCAGGCATTCAATAGCCTACTCCAAGCATAGGCAACGGGAGACACTGGCTGACTTAGAAAGAAGGCAGTTCATCAGCTGATGTGTTGGTACGAGTGAGGACGGAAGTGCTTTGTGTGACTGGAAGATGACCGGCGACTGCGGACCACGCATCGGGGCGCGTGGGGAAAGCGAGCATGCATTCGTGTAGCGGGCACGCTGCAGGCAGGAGGAAAGAATGCAGTCGCAGAAGAGCACTTTATTCATATCCTCAACCTGCTAACCGGCATTTAGTCAATGTGGTGCTCTTGCTCACAACCAGACACATCGTTTGTTGCAGGAGACACAGTAAGACCCTCAGCAAATCGGAGACAAAAACATAGGGCCAGAGACAGCTGTTGAATAGCATCATTATTTTTTGAAAAACCCAACAACCTTGTAGTGAGGGATTTTAGGGGAAAGTAGAAGAAACCTTCAATTACTGAGTGCTTGTGCTCTTAAAATAGATTCCAAAACAATGAGATGAGCTGTACTACTCCTTTCACCGAAGTTTCAAAATTCTTTACATTCCTCTTTTAATCATCTGCACATTGCAACAATGTCGGCTGCAAAGTCCTCTTTTTCCTTTGGCTTCTACAATAAAATTGGAGTAGCGTCAATAGAAAAAAAAAAAAAAAAGCGTTGCTCCCTAATCTAAGATGCACTAAAATCACACATAACACGAAACAAACCATTTAAAATCATCTGTTAAAAGAGAACTGCACTGATCTACTGTAATGCTGTGGCTTCGTAAAAATAAAAATGTCCGAGAAGCTAGGGCACAGCCTGATAACAAAAACCCCGGAGTTACACCTCTCGGTTCACAATAACAGTAGCAAACTTAAAGCTGAGGCCATTTGCTTAGATCAGTGATTCCCAAAGTGTGTTCTGCACACTCATGTTCGCGGCTCACCGTCATAATTTGTATCAGTGGTTTTGTAACTTAGATCAAAAGAAGCCTTTGGCAGAGTAACTCTGGTTGGACCAGAAGGGCTGCAGCATGAATAGACGTTTCCTTCCCTTCCCCTGCCTGCGGCAGCCCCCAGAAGGGCTCTCCATTAACCTTCAGTCTGCTATAGCACGTTTCCAAAACTACTCGTTGAAAAGCACTCGCAGGGGAACTTGGGCATCCAGACAGGATTTGTTGAAGATTGCAAAACACTGGTCATTAATGGGCATTTACCAATAACTGGAATTTATGAGCATGATTACACATGTAACAGAAGCCAAACACCACAATGAGCTCATTAGCCGCTGTTAAAGAAGATGATCCAGATTCTTGGAACTTCCAAGTTTGAGAAAATAGAACTGTGATTGTGATTCATGAATTCGCCAAGTGTTAATCAACAAAATGATAAATATCTCTAATTGAGGACAGTGGTTAGCTTGTTGTTACCCTGGGACTCGCTCTATCAATTCAATGACTCCTGGGAGGAAGTCTGAGGTTTCTTCAAAACTGTACTTTAAGGAGGCGATCGCTTTCTAAGGTAAAACCAGCTCGGTTGAAATATTCATTTGTCTTTGATGCTCTTGACAGTCCTCATAAAGCCATGGGTCAGTTGTGACTCTTCTGTGAGCAAGCCAGCTGAGTTTCTGTATCCTCAGTGAGAAAAGGTATGCCCAGGGGCAATTAACATCCTCTACTCTGAACACAGGCAGGATTCAGTGAGAATGTGTGTGTGTGCGTATGCGCGCGCGTGTGTGTGCCCCCACACGCTGGGGTTTCTCCACGGCAGTACTCTATTGACTTTTGAGGGTCAGTACTTTTGTTGTTGTTGGGGAGCTGCCCTGTGCATGGCAGGCTATTTAGCAGTACCCCCGATCTTTAGCCACTAGATGCCATTTGTACCCCACCTCCAATTGTGACAGCCAAAAAAAAAAGTCTCCAAAACATTGCCAAAATCCCCTGGGGGGCTCAATCTTCCCTTCCCCAGTGGAGTCATGGACTGATGCAGACCCGTCACAGGTCATGGACAGACGGGAGATAAACAGTGCTCCTCTCCTAATGGACGACGAGTGCTGCAGAATTTCAGCGCTGGAAATGCCCAAAGAACCTATCTAAGAAACAACCCCCTGCGTGGCACAAACAAGGACACTGAGGCCCAGAAAAGTTACATATCTTCATCTTTTAAAAACAATGGCTTCGATATCATGTCCAAAAGCACATGCCACATGGCACTCGTTCCTTAAATTACTCCTCCAAAAACAGGTTCTGTGGTCTCATAAGCGGGAGAAATACCTCATACCAAATCCTTCGCTTGGAAGTAAGAAAAACTTTTAAAATTATGTTTACACTAGAATTTCTCAGTGATTTCTGACCCCGGATTCTCTGCCCAATGCCAAATTGCAGCTAACAGGAAGCCGAGCACATCTGCCCTTGAGGCGCGTGTGCACTGAAGAACAAGGCACTCTGCCCAGCTGCACTTGCAGGCTGGTTTCCTGTCCGGGGCACTCCAAAATTCCTTGTGAGGTGTGCCAACTATTCCGGCGTTCAGGTGGAACATCCAATTGAGGGTAAAAAAACATTTTTTGGTAAACTCAGTTTGGTTTACTGGTTGGAATGACGGATTATGTCAAGCAATTCATCCTGTGCTAGGCACCAAGGAAATTCCAAAAGAAGGTTTCTTCTGAAGCCCTCTCTGACCATCCCAAACATCCTTACTTCTGGATTCTATTTTCTTCCTGTCCCCGCAATTCATTTGGCACTTACCACGTACTGCCTTTTGCTGTGGTGTGTGCGATCCTTCTTCCCTCAACCTGACCAGTTTCCAGCAGGCTAAGGACTAGGTTTTATGACCCTTTACATAAATTACCCTCTTACTATTTTAACATATCATGCAATAAATCTTTTTTGGTTGGCTGAGAAGGGTAAGATCTTTCTTTGAAAAATGTGTTCGATACACATAACCTTTGTATAAACTGGTCTTCAAGGAAGAGGCCTGGGTTTAGGTACAGAAAGGTTCTCCTAGTAGAAACTGTGTTTACCTGGTCCCTGTAACTCTTTTATAGTTGTCCTTGGAGTACACTGCTAGAATGCTGACCCCTGAGCCCATGTTCACCAGCAACATAGGGTATGGGTTATCAAGGCAGTACGGCTTTTTTTGACACAATTCAGGATTTGTGGGATTTTCAAAATAGTAACATTCCGGCTTGCCGTTGAAGCCAACGGAGTCAACGTAAAGCAGGCCCTGAATCAGACAGTCCAATTCATCCAGTTTATGGAGCTGCAGGTCAGCAATCTGAAAGAGAACAAAACCTCGTGAGAGAAGCTATGATCACCTCAGGGGAAGCCCCAGGGGCTTTTAGCTGGACTGAACATGTGTCATTAACTGTAAAAGCATGAAAACATCTTTAAAACTCCAAGTTGTGAAACCCTGTGAATCATTAGTGGCTCTGACAGAAAAGCAGCCTTTGTCAGACCTCATGTCTACCCACAGTGGGAACTGAAGGCCAGGAAGTTGCCTGGTCGCTGGAAAAGCATCCAGGAGCATGTGTAATGGGTTGAATTGGTAGCCCCGGAGAGGTATGACCAGGTCCTAATTTTTAGGACCTATGAATGTTACCTGATTTTGAATAGGGTTTTTGCAAGATGTGATTAAGTTAAGGATCCTGAGATGAAGAGAACATCCTGGGTTATCTGCGTGGACCCTAAATTCATTGACAAGCTTCCTTATGAGACACACGGGAAAGATCTGATGGGCAGAGAAGGCTGTGAAGACGAAGGCAGAGACTGGAGTACTCCATCCACCACAGGCTAAGGTGTGCCCACAGCCCCCAGAAGCTGGAAGAGGCAAATGGAATCTGCCCGAGAGCCTCAGAAGGAGGTGTGGTCCTGCCAACAGCTTGATTTTGGTCACCTCTAGAACCATGACTGAATACATTTCTGTTGTTCTAAGTCACTGCGTTTGTGGCCATTGGTTACCACATTGTGGCCACAGGAAACCAATACGGCGTATCACTAAGACCAGGGCTCTCCCGCAGGGGGAGGAGAGTGAGAACATTCTGAAAGAAGGAAGAACCCCACACTTGCCCACACACACGGTCCTGAGTGAGGCATGGTGAGCCTGGGATCTGGGGGCAATCACCTTTGAGCCCACAAAACCCAACTCTCCTCTTCCCAGGCCTGGGCTTTGCAGTTAGATAGACCTGGCTTTGAATTCTAGCTCTAGCACTTAACTGAGGGATGTGGGGCAAGTTATTTAACTTGAGAAGCCTCAATTGCCTCTCTGTAAAATGGGGATATTATCCACTGCACAGTGTCGTTGTAGAGATTTCGTGATAATAATATATGTACAAAGGGCTCAAAAAATGTTGGCTCTTTGATGAATAGCGGGGGTGGTCCCAAAGTGTCTTTTCATGCTCCTATGAGACAAAAACTCCCATTCTCCCAGGTATAGGGGGAAAAAAGTAAATGGGGATGAGTTGGCTGTGGGGCAGCCTTAGGGGAGAGTGGCCACTTTGCATCCTTAAAAGTTTAATTCATGGTCCCCGAGAGGAGAATTATTGCTGATCCAGATGTCTGGGTTGATGATCATTTCCCATGAACAACAACAACAAAATAATAATAATAAATCTAATAATCACCAACACGACACAAAGCCAATGAAGGAAGATAATTTGTAAGATCTAACTTAAACTTTTAAAGAAATATCTTTGAGAAAATAATAGCTAGTATTTGTTATTCATTACACGCCCAGAACTTGTAGTAGATCATTTAATTTTCACAAAATCCTCTAAGTAGATGTTTTACCCTCGCTTTATGGGTAGGGCTTGCAGAGCCTAAATAACTTTCCCTAAGTGATACAACTAGCAAAAAGCTCCCAGGGACTCGCTGTTCTTCTCTTGTTTTCATAATGCATATTGCGTCCGGGATCTGGAAACAACCTAAACAAGTACTATACTTAGATATTTTGCCAAAAATACACACATATTTGCAACAAAAGTTAAGAGCTGGAAGAATACTCTTGACTTCATATCACTCATCTGAATTTCCCATTCAACGAACTCCACTAAATCTATACTTAGAGAGCAGAATTAGTTTGAATAGGTTACCAGCAAGGTGGTACAAGTTTTCTTGATACAAAGAAACAATCATTCTGGGTTTTTTTTTTTTTTTTTAATTTAAAGATCTAATTGGTTCTATTCAGTGAGTCATGAATCAGACAGCATACCATCTAGCAAGTAGAAAGGAGGTCCCCAGAAACCATCATCCTAAATGACGCTAGCTGATAAAGTAAATCTATCTCATAAATGATTCCAAACATTTCCTTTTTTACCGAGTGAAAAGTTTGAGTGAGAAGCAAGTAATTACACGTTTTAAGCGGGTAATACTTTAGGTATAGAACTACCTGGAGACCTGAAAGATGGCAGTGAGACACAGCCATGTAAATGCTGTTTTTGTCCTCTCCATTCCTCAGCCCTATTAACCTCTTCCACTTATAGCACTAATCACATTCTGGTTCATTTTCTGGTTCATCAGGTGCCCCTGAGCACCATGCTCCAAGGCCTGGCCCATAATAATTGCTTAATAAACATCTGTTAAGTGGGACAAGGAAAGTTACCACTTCTTGGATCAAACCAAACTGAAAAGTAGAAATTTCATCAGCCAGTCGTGGGACCATAGGTTAACCCGCTTAAAAATTAATCAGGGGTCCATCAACAATATCAACAGCTCATGCCCAGGGCCAACATCACAAACACAGACAGAGACACACTGTGTCCAGCGGGACATCCTGAACCTATGCTGTGGAAAAAGAAAAACCTATCAAGGCAAATAAACTAAGCACACACAACTTTGATCTGAAAGGAAACACTGTTATCTCAAATTCAGTTTCAAATAAAGTGCCAGCAGCAACCAAACATCTCTGCTATCCGTTTTACTGAAGGATAGATATTTCTGAAGCCTGGGTCATGCATTCCCAAACAGGGAAACAGAAACATTCATCACTTTCACGGAGACCTATAGAGACCTCCCTTAAAAGTCTTCACCATCCAGAGAAAAGTCCAGGCTCCCAAATGTAAGCAGTGAGTCAAATCATAACTTGGAGAGTCACAGGGGCCATCTGAAATTCAGAACAAGATGGGAATTACTTCTCACACTCTGAGAAGTAAATACAACTGAATAGACTCAGTGGAACATTCAGCACGCTCAGATCCTAGCTGTGGAAACACACTCTTTCTCTGGGCTTAGCTTTCTTTCTATCAGGGGTAGCAAATGCAAATACCTACAGGAGACAGTAAGAAAACATAAAAGAGCAAAGCCCTGGGCTAGATGTAATGTAACAGAACACACACAGAGGACAATACATACATATTTGCAATTCACCTGCAGCCCATTGTTGCCATGTCATAATGAGGACTCAATGTAATTAATTAGCTGACAGCTATTTAATTTTTTTTGTAAATATTGCAGGCCAACCAAACATATCTGTAGGCTGATGCTGATTTCCATCCTATTAATTTTATATATATTCTAATGCTGATCTCTATGATGGGTCCTAAATGATGACAGATCTGAAATATCAGATTCAGCATGCAGATGAAGTTATAGCTCATGTGAACATAACCTTGTAACCAAGATGTGCTGGTAAATGTTTAGCAACCAGCTCTCTGGGAGCAAAAGCCTAGTTTATAGCATTTACAATTTCTGTGGTATAATTGCCCCCATGATGGCTAATTTCAAGCTACCAACATGATGTCATTAAACACAGAGTTGGGAAGACATGCACACAATGGGCTCTCTTAAGCCAGTAGGAACTGGCCTCAGCATCCCACTGCTTGTAAGTCTCCTTAGCACTTTTAGAAAATATGGGTTCTGCCAATTCCTAAATCATTAAGCTTTAAATCACTCCCCAAATATAAAACCAACAAACCTCAGCTTGTCCTAAGACTCAAACAAACTCTGTGTAAATAATGGAAGCTAATAAAAAACTATATGGATCTCATCTGTAGGACTTCAGGCAAGGAAGCTATTATTACTATTACGACCCATTTTGCAGATGAAATATATCACCAGGGGTCAGTGGGTTAAGTGACCTATTCTGGATCCCAAGGCTAGCAAGTAGGGGAAGAAGCAGAATAGAAAAAATTTTCAAACTACAACTGTGATGAACTCATATGGTTGTGCCTAGTACTAAAGTCACTCAAGCAAGTGTGTGGATGCAGTGGGGTTCTCCAATTATAGGAGCCATCAGAATCACTCAGAGGGTTTGTTCAAACACAGATGGCTGGGCTCCACTCCCAGAGGTTCTGACTGTATTTCCAACAGTATCCCAGGTGATGCTGATGCTGCTGGTCCTCGGACCACACAGTAGTAGGCGTTGAAGAACTGGGATGAGCCTATGACCCCAGTGAGAACAGTCACTGGATAAGGTCACAGAGCACCTGCCCTAGCTAACTCACAGGGCTACCTTCAAGAATCAAATGAGACGCCTGTGTGAAAATGTTTTGGATACTGTAAAGAACTATACACATGGGTTCTAATTATGTGAGAAGTAAAATAATTTGGGTCTTCTTATCTCAAGTTGAAATGCACTAGTCCACTAGTCAAAACACTATTTCCACACTGAAGACTAATTTGTAGAGGGAATTCAGTGATTCTGGTATGCTAATATTAGAAAAAAAGATGGATCCTAAACACAAGGCATGTTCAGGATACAACTGTAAAAGGTTGTCCATATGTGCTTCAGCTCAGTCTGTCAAAAATACTAATTAAAGAGTTAAACAGATAAATCTGGTAAAAAGCTATCCCAAGAGATTCCATAACTACTCCTATGAGGGCATTCTATGGACCTGCCCCAAACCAGTTATATTACCCCCCTGTAATTGAGAAATAAGTCACCAAATTGTATTTCAGAAATGAATAAAATATATATCTGTATGATACCTTACACTTTCCAAGGTGCTTTTGAGGACACTGGCTCCGTAAATCATATTGGAAGTGGCAGAAAAGGTTATCTTACTAAACAGAGAATAATTTGCCTATAAAATAGTTGATTCTGAATTACAAATTTCACTCAGGGCTCTTTTCTGTTCCCAAAGGAGACCTAGAAGACCTGAGAGAGATGAATTTCAAACATATTCTGTGAGTGAGAAATATGACAAAACCTCAAAGACGGCTTCTTCCTCCCTGCACCCAATGATAAAGAGGCCACAGACCAGCGGTCAAGAGTCAAGCCAGACCCAAGTGGAGAATGACATTGTCTACCAAACCTCATGCTGCCGCCATACCACGAATCAGTCCCTGGATTCATAACAGGAACCAAGCTAATAAATGTTCTTGAATGGTCCATTTAGATGTAGAATTTCACATATCCACAACTGTCCTCCTTCCTCCTGATAATTTTCCAACTATTCTTAACTTTTTTAGATTGTTTCCTTAGAGATTTCTGGCTTAAGAAAGTCCAATTCTTAAGTTCTCACACCTTGAGAAAAACATAATAAAGCCACCAGAAGATCCTTTTCTGTTCCCTAAATCTCATGTCAACCAAATAAGATTATTGTTACATCCCGTTTGTTAGAGGATAGGTCTTTTTTGAAAAGTAACTGAAAGAGTCACTGAACAAAACTCACAAGGAAGGGGCGCCTGGGTGGCTCAGTCGGTTAAGCGTCTGCCTTCGGCTCAGGTCATGATCCCGGGGTCCTGGGATCGAGCCCCGCATTGGGCTCCCTGCTCCGCGGGAAGCCTGCTTCTCCCTCTCCCACTCCCCCTGCTTGTGTTCCCTCTCTCGCTGTGTCTCTCTCTTTCAAATAAATAAATAAAATCTTTAAAAAAAAAACTCACAAGGAAAAGTATCTATTATAATGAAGAGCTAGGTGGACAAAAAGGATGATTTTTTTCCCTATGCATTCTCTATTAGAATACTTTGCATTTTAAAGAATACTCCTGTTGAAGTTAGGAAGTGTAGCTGTGGATGAAAATATTAGATTTAGTACATAAAATATTCTGGTGGGTTCTTCAAAAACAGAACTCACAGAATAGAGACAGGGGATAGACAAGTCTTCCCCTTGAGGATCACTTTCTTCAATGGTGGGATTCCTCATTGGCTTATCACTTTCTTAGACCATTTGTAGTTAGATTAGGTTTTTCTTTTGTGTCCATTTTGGTGTATCATTAATTCAGAAGGCTAATTTTTGCCAGTCAGAAGTTTAAGTGATCCTAAATGTTAAAAGAAGCAAAGAGGAAACAAGGAAGGAAGAGAGGAAAAGAAGAAAGAAAGAAAGAAAGAAAGAAAGAAAGAAAGAAAGAAAGAAAGAAAGAAAGGAAGGAAGGAAGGAAGGAAGGAAGGAAGGAAGAAAGAAAGAAAGAAAGAAAGAAAGAAAGAAAGAAAGAAAGAAAGAAAGAAAAAAAGAAAGAGAAAGAAAAGAAAAGGAAAGGAAAGGAAAGGAAAGGAAAGGAAAGGAAAGGAAAGGAAAGGAAAGGAAAGGAAAAGAGAGGAAAAGAAAAAGGAAACAAGAAATGTAGCTTTGTTCAGTTGAAAGTCTTCCACACAGGAGTCTAACTTAATGCTTGTCTCATGGTTTATAGCTCTTGTATATTCAAAATTGGATGAAGACTAGTTGACATTATCTGAGAATTAAATATATTCACTATAAGTGAAAAGGATATGGTCATTAGATATAGCAATTACAAACTATTCAGGGTCTGCTAAATGTCTTTTAGTTAGCTCTAATTACTTAGGTTTTTAAAATACACTTCTGCAAAGCTGTATTATACCAAAAACAGTGATTTTATACAATAACAATGGCAGGACTTTAAAATATATATATTAGTATATATATATTTATATATGTATTAATATATATATTTATATATATATTAGTATATATATTTACATACATAAATATATATAGAATATGCACTGCTTTATTTTGTCAGATTGCTTAATATATACAGTAGTAAATATTGATCATTTATAACCAGGTTTCAATTTTCTATTCTGGAAAGGGGAAGAGGGAAGGGCTTGGGATTCAGCACACCTAAGGGTTTTAGCACTTACTGTTCCCTCTGCCTAAAATACCCTTCCTGGGATACTGGCCTGCTTTACTTCATTACTTCTGGTTCCTGCTCCAATGTTACCTCATCACACTAAAACTCTCCCAACCCTTACTATCCCCCTTGCCTTGCTTTTTTTCCCCCCTTCCATAACATATCCCATATATACATACACACACATAGGATATAGTGGTATATTCTGTATTTCTATATTCGTTTGCTTATTTAATTACTGACCGTCTCCCCACACTAGAATGTACGCTCCTGGAGGGCAGGGGCTTTGTTTTGTTCGTAACAGTACTTGGCGCACAGAAGGAGCGCAATAAATCCTTGTTGGGTGAGTGAATGAAGGCCTAGAAAAGAGGATGAGAAGACCTATCCATCGTCGCACACTTTGGCACTTAGCATACTGACAGACAGGCTACGGGAAGAGATCAATTCTGTCTTCATTTTGCCTGAGACTGAGCGTGGAAACAGAAGGCAGCCCTTTTCCTTTCTTTTATGGATGTATGCCCCTAGCTAGCCAGGCTGTTTGGCAAATACTCCGGACTTACTCCCTGCTCCAATCTATTCATTAGGCTCCAGCAGCCTGCCTGAAGAAGTAGAAGCTTCTTTATCTTGGTTATTTTAAAATACGACCTTTCTCAGTTCAGAACCTTGAGAAACACACTTGCTCACAGCCAACATATATTGAGTAACTTTTTCCCAGAACATTACCCCGAGGAGGAACGGAGGCATTGAGGGATGTTGCAAAATGTCCCAGGTCACCTGGGTTCTTGAGGCTCCCTAGTGGAGATGCCCAGATAAGGTGACCTGGGGAGTTCTCAGCACTAGGGCTGGGTCAGCATATTCTTCTGAGTCAGAACTGAGCTGAGACCCGCTCTTACTAGGAGGCACTGCTAGAGCCCCTTAATCCCTCCTTAGCTTTAGTTTCTTAATCCATGGCGCACAAGAATGCTGTACTTCCTGGTCTCCAAAGGTGACTTCAGGTTCTGATGTTCTAGAACTCCTCCCTTCTCTCTGCACTTTACTGCCACCTTTTTGCCGATGATAATACTGAGGGCTCCAGGGGGGAATGTCTCACCCAAAGTCACCCAGCTAGTTCAATGCTAGAATTCAGGTTCAATGCTTTTCCAACCATGAGCTCAAATTTAATTTTCATGCCCCTGGATCTCAGCCTTTTCAGTTTCAAAACTCTGATCATTGGGCCCCTTTGGTGGGAAAAAGATGCCATGGATCACTCAGCTGAGAGGCAGTGTCAAATTCCACTGAAATGTCGGGAAAGGGGACTGAGAAGAAAAACCAAAACCTGCTACCATCAGTCTCACTCAGGGCACTGTGCCAGGGCTCCGTTGCCGGCTCTCCTGGAAACTACTTAGTACGCTCCGTGGGATAAAGGATGTTACTTTTGATGATCCAAATAAAATTTGTATTTATAGCTTCATTAAATACCACAAGTAATGTATTGATTCATTAATTTATTCATTAATGCTAGACTTGAGGGCAAGACTGAATACACTGGTTCCATGACAGAATGCGGTAATTTGCACTCCGGGCTTTGAAAAAGTGTACTTTACAACTTACCTTACTATATGTTCAACTTTCTGGCAAGACTAACCCCCAAATCTTCCAACCCTTTCTTCTCTAATACCCAGTCACTTCAGTTGAACCTAGCTAACCTTCTTCTCTCTTTATTTTCTACATCTTTTATTGCACTTTATTCTCATTTTATCCCCTGTGGGTTGACGCTGGCCAGTAGAGAGATTATCTTGATTGTAGAGATGGGGAAATTGGAACACACAGCTGTTAAAAGAATGATGACGACAGCTAATACTTGTGAGCATTTACTAAGCGCCAGGTACATATTTTCTCACTTAATCCTGCATGGAACAACACTATGAGGTATGAACTATCCAGACACGGGAGGGAACTGAGGCACAGAGAGGTGAAGTGAACCTGTCCAGAGTCCCAAGGCTAGCAGTCTAGCTCTTCCACACGAGAAGCCGTGATTATGGACACGGGAGAGGCTTTCTTTCCTTCTCTGAGAGGCGGTTTTGTTGTTTTGTACCAAGCACAAAGCTGACATACCATTCTGAAGTCCTTTTCGAACTTGAAAGCCCCGCCTCCCGTGGCGCAGAGAGTGGTGTGAAGGCTGGAGAAGTTCTTCTCGCTGCCCATCTGGATGAACCTGTGCATCGCACAGCTGGGGAAGCGGATGAAGTGCAGGTTCCCTTTGCGCCCACACACGGTCAAATTTTTCAGTTCTAGGTGGACATCTCGGATCCCGGTTTTCCCGTAAGCCGTGTTAGAAGTCAAATACTTCCTGATGCTCTTCAGGTTCTCCACCTCCTCTTGTTCCTCTTCGGCTGTAATATCCTTTGGTTCAAAGTAGACCAGTTTAACCAGTGTTCCACCGATATCCATGCCGAACCAGGGGAATGCTAGAGGACAGAAAGATAGTACTGTTGAATTCTCTGCATTTAAAGAGATGCTCAATTTCTGGATATCCGATAATGAAATGCAGTGGTGTCACATCTGTATGTGCATTTAACATCCAATGCCCCTACCTTCAACTCTATGTGCCTAAAAGAAGACACAGGCAAGGAGAAATTCACCATTTAAATGGTGCCCATGATTCTGCCCATACTCCACTCAGGGTCTGCCTCAGGACTGAGCCTGAGAAGAGAAACAGGACTTTGCAGTCCCCTAGGCCTGTCCCAATTCCCAGGGCTTCTTAGGGCTCGAGTATCTTCCCAAGCTGGGTACAATTCCAATTCTTAAAGATCTATTTCTGCATACACCATGCTCCCAAATGCTAACGATTTTATCAGAATCTTGGCCAAAGAACAACCATCTATTTCAACAACAGGGGAAACACTGGCTATGTTAGGTGGACCACGAGGCGTATTGGTCTCTAACCCACATGGCACACTCCTAGGGCACTTTTCAATGACAACTGTTACAGCATTCAATTTTTGCCTCCACAAGCTGACTCTACAAGACATGAGTCTGCTGCTTTAATCTACAGAATAAGCGGAAGGAGGAAGTGAGTGGGTTATGAGAGACGATGACCCTACGGTAGCATAACTCTAAAGAGAACAGCTCCTGTCATAGCTCATTTCTTTCTTCATGAAGCAGAGACCCTCTCTGCCTCAGAATGGCCTGCTAAGGAGTCCTCAACCCAGCTGTGGGCTAGAATCGCCTTCAGCATCCCGATTCTCCTCTCCTCTCCCACAGGTTCTGATTTAATTCAGGGTTGCAACCCGGGCATGACTATTTTCTGAAAGTTCCCTAGTGGTTCCAATCTGCAGCCTTGGGAACTGCTAAACCAGAAGAACCATGGCCTCTGACAGGCAAGCCCACCAACAGGCACAGCTCCTGACCAGGTCTGCAACACAAAGGCATGCCTTTAGGGGACGACATATTGCATGCGTGTGCGTGTACATTATATATATATATGAAATATATATGAAATCTGCTCGAGATGTTTATCTATAACAAAATAAATCTCCATCATCATAATTTTTCTTGTTATTAAAAGAACAGGGAGAGCTCCCTAAACAGGCCGATTTCATTTAGAGGCGACCTGGAAAGTTAATGTTGTGCTGTCAGATGCTCTGCAGTGAACACTGAGCAGACCCAAATGAGACTGCAAAATCTGGGGGCTCCCTTTTCATTTCCCTCGGCAGACTCCACGGGCTAAATCTGAAACTGTAATATTAAAGCTGAGTTTAAAGATACAGGGAGCTCAAATGACTTCTTTCAAGAAGTTTATTTTTATTTATTTATTTATTTATTTATTTATTTATTTATTTATTTATTTATTTATTTTATTCTTATGTTAATCCCCATACATTACAACATTAGTTTTAGATGAAGTGTTCCATGATTCATTGTTTGTGCACAACACCCAGTGCTCCATGCAGAATGTGCCCTCCTCCATACCCACCACCAGGCTAACCCATCCTCCCACCCCCCTCCCCTCTAGAACCCTCAGTTTGTTTTTCAGAGTCCATCGTTTCTCATGGTTTGTCTACCCCTCTGATTTCCCCCACTTCATTCTTCCCCTCCCGCTAGCTTCTTCTTCTTCTTCTTCTTTTTTTTTTTTCTTAACATATATTGCATTATTTGTTTCAGAGGTACAGATCTGAGATTCAACAGTCTTGCACAATTCGCAGCGCTTACCAGAGCACATACCCTCCTCAGTGTCTATCACCCAGTCACCCCATCCCTCCCACCCCACCCCCCACTCCAACAACACTCAGTTTGTTTCCTGCGATTAAGAATTCCTCATATCAGTGAGGTCATATGATACATGTCTTTCTCTGTTTGACTTATTTCACTCAACATAATAACAAGAAGTTTATTTTATTCAGCCCTGGAGAATATCCATATAAGCCCTAGTCAAGTTGTGCATTGTCCCACCCTGAGATTACATGGCCAGGAACATGAGGGAGACCTCCAGACCTCCAGTTTTTTTTCTGGGCTAGTCTCCTGTTCGGCCCTCTCCATCGGGAAGTTGGGGAGGGCGGGGGGAGAGGTACGGAGCGGGAAGCCATCCCTGTGTGTGCAATGTTTCCTCCAGCGCTTCACTGCTGTCCTTTGAGCTGTAATCCAAGCCAGCAGCTCCACCCTTGGAAGCACTAACTCTGAACAAATACAGAAAAATAAAGCGCCAAACCCCCAAAAGATTAAGAGCAGCAGATTCCACTAACAAGACCAAGGTCACAAATGTCCTATTATAATTGTGGAGGATGGCAAAGCAAATCCCACACAGCCCAGGGCAGGTTGGGAAGTTTGCTTGTCCTAGCAGGAGATAATAGAAAACTGGAAATAGTTCACCCCTACCAGTCAGTTCAACTCACAGATGACATTTCTTGGTCCCTTCTCTAAAACTCACAGTCAGCATGGCCCATGGTGTAGCTAATAGGTCAAACCTCAAATCAGGATTCACAGCTGCTTTCCATAAACAGCAGTCGGTAACCAGCTCACGGTCACTCCCTCCACCTCTCTGGATCGCAATTCCCTTATCTGTGAAAGTAATGGATTGCAGTAGAATGGACTCCACTTCTCTCCCTACTATAAACTTCTACGGATTCTTTCAGAAGTAGAAAAAAAATCACAACCACCCCCAATCATGTAGGCTGACCAGAGCCCTAGTTTTAATCTCCACTGAAATACTTTATGGCATGTCAACAGGTGCCTGGGCTATGCAATCAGTGTTGCAGGTATAATCCATTCTTATCATTGTAGGAAAGATACCTACTACTGGACAGGATGGGGGAAGGGTATTCTGGAACATTGCTAGGCTAACCATTTGGAAGAACTCTAGCAACACCTCTTAAAATGAAAAGTACACATACATTTTTAACTCAGCTAATCCCTCTCCTGGACCATATTTAAAAAGCACCAGTATTTGAGGATAGGTATAAGAATGTTCATTGCATACGACCCAGCAATTGCACTACTAGGTATTTATCCAAAGGATAAAAACACAGTGATTAAAATGAGCACATGCACCCCAATGTTTATAGCAGCAATTTCATAACCGCCAAAATATGGAGAGAGCCCAGATGTCCATCGACAGATGAATGGATAAAGAAGATGTGGTGTGTATATATATATAGATGTGTATATATATGTGTGTGTGTGTGTGTGTGTATGAATATATACACACACACACACACACTGGAATATTACTCAGCCATCAGAATGAAATCTTGCCATTTGCAACGGCATGAATGGAACTAGAGGGTATTATGCTAAGCGAAATAAGTCAGAGAAAGACAAATACCATGATTTCACTCATATGTGGAATTTAAGAAACAAAACAGATGAACATAGGGGAAGGGAAGGAAAAATAAAATAAGATAAAAGCAGAGAGGGAGGCAAACCACAAGAGACTCTTAACTATAGGGAACAAACTGAGGGTTTGCTGGAGGGGATGGTGGGTGGGGGGATGGGGTAACTGGGTGATAAGCATTAAAGGAGGGCACTTGACGTAATGAACACTGGGTGTTATATGCAACTAACGAATCACTAAACTCTATCCCTGGAACTAATAATACACTATATGTTAACTAAATTGAATTTAAATAAAAAAGAAAAAAAAAGAATGTTCATTGCAGCACCATTTACAGCGGCCAAATTAAAAAAAAAACAAAAACAGGGGCACCTGGCTGGCTTAGTCAGAAGACCTTGTGACTCTTGATTCATGAGTTCCAGACCCACACTGGGTGTAGAGATTACTTAAATGAATAAAAACTTAAAAAAAAAAAAAAAACCGCCAACACAAAAACAAAAACCTGAAAACAAAGTGCATGCCCTGTAACAGGAAAACTGTTCAACAAAGTTTATTGTTTCCAAACCATGGAATACTGGGCACACATTGAAAAGAATGAATGAGATCTGTATCAGTTGCCTGATAGCCCTAAGCTTCTGTTAATGAGAAAAGTAAAAGATGCCAAGAAGTGCAAATAATTTATTTACCCTTTTTGGTTTGAAAAAAAAAAAAGAGGAGGGAAGGCAGGCAGGAAAGAAGGAAAGCAGGTAGAAGGGAGAACCCTATGTTTATGATTACATGAGCTTGCTGAAAGATAGAGAAGCCTATCCCTCCAGGCTGTTAATATCTTTAGCAGGTGGTAGGATGGACAGGCTGTATGAGTGGAGGCTAGAAATTAGGGGAGGGGATGGAGAAATGTCTACACTCAAATCACTCAGTACACGCAGAAGTAAAATAAATAAATTAAATAAATAAATAAATAAACAAACAAAAGAGGAATTCAGTGACAATGGAAAACAGGAGACATCCCAGCACAGAATGGACAGAACAAGCTGTGTGAAACCCAGAAAATAATCTAGTTCTGTAGTCGAAATCTACTATTCACCCAGCCACAGCTGTCACCAGCCCTTGGAAATGAAGAGTCCCTCCGTGGCTTTTTATTTGGTTGGCTATTGGTAAGTACGAGCGACTACAAAGCGTTCTCACTTTTAAAAACATGACAGGGGACACCTAAACATTTCATAAGTTATTTAAAATCCTGCTGTCTTTCCTGCTTCACCTCCTGCTCATTTCAAAGCTATTGTTGGCAACTCACAAAACAGTGGGAAAAAGTGTAGAGTTCTGAAAATTCAGTTATATCAGCAGTTTTGCTTAAGGTAAAAGGGAATAAAGATCGGAACACTACATTAGTTTAAATGGCAATAGAAACTGCTTTCACTTACCTATGTTCCTTTCTTACCCTCATGAAAAAAATAAATGCTCTTCTATTCACATTTTAATGCTTTTATAGAAACTATCAGATTTTTGAATGCAGTTTTATTCATCTTCCTGATATCAAGGTGTACCCAAATCTTACACTTCCTAACCATAAGCCATGGATGGAGATAAAAGACAAGGGGAAGGAAGAACATCCCAGTGCAGCTATCATCCATGACTCAT